TAGTAGTAGTAATAGTAGATCGATTTTATATACAAAAATATTCTTATACAATTGAAATAATGAGGAAGAAAAATTTACGAGTGATTCACAAACATGTTGTAACGAATAATAACGATCATCCACATATACAACAACGTATTTATGAGAATTCTGTTCGAGCTGTTCGACAGGTATAATAGGATAAGTTAATATACAAATAAATACTTGTATATATATATATATACATATATAAATAATATATTTTATAATATTTCTATATATATATATATACATGTGTGATATTATTATGTGTCCGTGTTGTGTATGTGTTTTGTCAATTATATAACGAACCAACAAAACTATGCCATAAGTAGTCACTTGTGAGTTACAAAAAGGTGATCAATCGGTCTGTTATTATACTCTTATTCCACAATTTAAACGTTTATGATTGAAAAACTATAAGAAAAAATACTTACAATAGAAAAAGAAAGAGAGAGAGAGAGAGATACCTCATAAGCACGAGTTGAACGTTACACGAGTACGACGGATTCATGGTGACGGAAAGTGGGTCATCGGATTGGTTGGAAAAAAAATCTGCGAACGGGAAAAGATAATATCAACTCTCTTTCTCTCTCTCTCTCTCTCTCTCTTTTTCATTCTCTCATGAACAAAACGCGTTTCTTGATTACTCAAACTGAGAGGAGGATGAGGATGAGGAGGAAGGGGTGGGTGAAAAGTTGTTAAAAATATTGGCACAGTTTAATATACAAATTTATAGTTAAGGTATTATTAACGTATATGTGTGTATGTGTATGGGGGTCAGTTTGTTTGTTAATTAAAATATTATTTGTTATGTGTGTTACAGCAAACGGATGTACGATCGAGCTTAGAACATTTTTCGAGTACACCGGTTAAATCGCTTCCTGGAAAAAGGGAGGACACCCCACCAGCATCTTTAACGTCTTTAGCACCGTTAACCAGTTTGGCGAATTTACCTAGCAGCACCCTGTCCTCAACACCCTTGTCTTTAGCACCCGCATCTAAGTTATTAACACCGCCGGACAACAAAGGTCTCATGAGGTAATGCATACATTTTTCTATATAATTATATTATTAAATTATATGATATATAACAAATTGTATGGGTTTTTTTAATTTAATCTGATAATTTTTTTTTGGTTTGTTTTTTAGTAAATCTATGATTTATAATATAATGTCGTTAATTAATAAAAAAAAAGGGGATAACAATTAGAAAAATTATTTCAAAAGCATTGCATCGTTGAATTAAGATTAGTTAATGTTATAATTGATAATAATAATAATAATAATAATAATAATTGGATGATCGGTTGCAACTGACCACGTTTTCTTAAATAAAAATACATAGATAAATTAATCTTCTTTCTTTTTTCGACGTTGTTATTGTATTCATATTTCTTTTCTCTTTTTTTTTCTTTATTTCATTCTTTCGCTCGCAATCTATAACATTAAAGTCGATACATTTATTTATTATTTCTTGTTTTTTTGTTGTTGTTGTTGTATTTTTGTTATAATCAAATATCACAACCCGTTCGTTTACGAGATTATCCGATTATTATAATTAATTAAATACAAATTAACTTGTGTTTAATAAACTTTGCGATTTGAAAATAAATTGCTGATAAGTTTTTTTATTTTTTTTTACTTGTGTGTTCGTTACACATATTATTTATTTTATTTTTCATCGATTATGCGTACTTTTAACAAGCAAAAAGTAAAAAGAGAGAGAGAGAGAGAGAGAGAGAAATAGAATGAGAGTAATGGAATATAATTAATAACAAGTATTAACAAACGTTTATTCTTTTTTATTTAGTCAAGCAACGATAGTCAGTTCGTCAGCGGTTAATGGAGTTGCAAGTGGTGGTGCACCAACAGCCATGTACAGACCAAACTTTAGTCAGGCTTTCCAACGTGCAGGTCCCACAACGGTACCACCAACTCTGTCAGCTGGACTTTATCCTACTCAAAGTTTCACCTCAGGATTACTGAGCAACGGTACACAAAGTAATATTGGTTATTGGTGTCTTATTATTTTTGATCCTTTCATTTTAAAACTTTATTCTATCCTGTATTTTCATCTATATTATTATTACATCTTTCTTTATTTCTTTATAGCATGAACTTTTCTAGCTTTTTTTTTAATTAATTAATTTATTTATTTATTTTTCTTATATATATTTCAATGTTATTAATGATACTTTAAGGAATTAATAATATTGCATTGCGTTAGAATGTTACTGTACCCATACTTAAATATTTTCTTGTACAAACAATAATTCTAATTATCATTATATAATGCAAAGTTAAATATAATATATATTAATTATGAAATAATTACCAAATCCCTTATTATATTATATTGTATAACTGGATACAAACATTCCAAGCAAAA